TCTACAGTAGAGCTTTGTAGATAAACAGTAATAGATTTTCTCTTTACCTGTTTTCTTGTGTATCATTTCTATATTTATTTATGTAACGTACTTTCTTTTAGTTGAATTAGATTTGGATTATCGTATTTATAAGTAATGTACAATTAGTAATATACACTAAAAATTTTCTAATATTTTTTTAGTGGCCCTACTCATAAATTATTTAAATAGTATTTTTATTTCTTGGTTAATAATTTTAAACTTGCTTACATTGCACTTTTTTTTTTTCAAAATAAACCGACGCATAGTAATCATTTCTACTTGCATCCAATTTTTTTTTCAAATGATATTTAAGTAAGGCGCGGTTGATCCCTTTTAAAAATCTTGCTGTGGTTGAAAAAAAAATCGCCCGTATCGTGTCTCCTGCTAGTTCATTATTTCAATCTTCACCTGAAATCTGTCACTGTTCTCTCAAATATCTAATTTAAACTCTGTCCACCTAGACTAACAAGGTGCCTTATAAATGGACTGTCCGCGCCGACTAGCAGATGTCCGCCATCAGAAGCGCCCCTTTCATCCCTCGTGTTTGAGGGCCCGTCCCTCGTGCATGTCTCGGGTCCTCATTGTCTTGTTGCCGTCACGCCCTTTGCTTGTCTATAAAGACGAGGGAGAATGTTTAAATTGTATCTCACCCCCACCCTACCCCACACGGGAAAAAAAGGGTGGGGGGGGGACGGTTTTCTTCATGGGTACTGAGTTTTCAAATACCTTAGATCCGCTACGCACCATCTCACTTACCAGCGTTTTTTTTTTTACCTGGACAGGTATGGTGCTCCATCAGACACTTTCAGCTCTTATACTGTTACCGTTCACCTCCCCCCCTCCCCCACACTCTCTTTACCCGTCCCCTCAGCTTAAAAAAAAAATAAAAAAAAAAAAAATAAAAAAAAAAAAAAAAAAAAAAAAAAAATGACCCGGCTACCATCTTCCCCGTCCCATCTTGAAAATAATTGCCCATCGCAGGAGGTCGTTTCAGGTTTAGGGGCGTCCACTGTTCCCCCGGCCATCGGCGTACCGCACACAAAGGAGCAAGGCGGCTCCCAAGCCTTTGACACGAGGGGGGGATGGGGCTGTTTCTATGGGACCCGGTGATAAATGACGTCTTTAATCCTCGGACAGAACCTATTGGTCACTAACACCAGTCCCATCTCCCATTTCCCAGCTTTGGTCCCAGAATCTTCTCGAAAAAAATGGTCTCTATTCTCTGCTTGTCTCGAGTTTAGACACTTCCTGACATGCGCGGAGTAACACACAATGCAAAGGGTCTTAAAAGTAGATCTCCAGTCCTATTCATGAAATCAGCTACAAAACCCAATGATAGGGGAACTTGCGGATTGGTGTATGTACACCACTGTTATTTTCACATGAAAATATTAATAACGATACATTTCTTAGTTTCAAATAGTTGAAGGCTATATCATGGTTATTTGGGTACTTGAAACTTTGGCAGGACGTACTCGCGAGTGTGGTCTTTGTGTTGGCCAGTATCGCTTGTGTTGGCTAGTATCGCTTGTGTTGGCCAGTATCGCTTGTGTTGGCCAGTATCGCTTGTGTTGGCCAGTATCGTTTGTGTTGGCCAGTATCGCTTGTGTTGGCCAGTATCGCTTGTGTTGGCCAGTATCGCTTGTGTTGGCCAGTATCGCTTGTGTTGGCCAGTATCGATTGTGTTGGCCAGTATCGATTGTGTTGGCCAGTATCGTTTATGTTGGCCAGTATCGCTTGTGTTGGCCAGTATCGATTGTGTTGGCCAGTATCGTTTGTGTTGGCCAGTATCGCTTGTGTTGGCTAGTATCGCTTGTGTTGGCCAGTATCGCTTGTGTTGGCCAGTATCGCTCGTGTTGGCCAGTATCGCTTATGTTGGCCAGTATCGCTTGTGTTATCCAGTATCGCTTGTATTGGCCAGTATCGCTTGTGTTGGCCAGTATCGCTTGTGTTGGCCAGTATCGCTTGTATTGGCCAGTATCGTTTGTGTTGGCCAGTATCGCTTGTGTTGGCCAGTATCGCTTGTGTTGGCCAGTATCGCTTGTGTTGGCCAGTATCGCTTGTGTTGGCCAGTATCGCTTGTGTTTGTTAGTATCGCTTGTGTTTGTTAGTATCGCTTGTGTTTGTTAGTATCGCTTGTGTTGGCCAGTATCGACACCCTACCCCTGGCTGGTGCCGTAAACTATATCCTCAGTCATGAACCTGTCCTTTTCTCAAACCCTAATCTTAACCACAGCAGCAATACCGACAGAAAACAAAAATAATGCATCCATTCAATTCTATCTTGTGTGAATAATTTTAAAAAAAAGTTTTTACAACGTAAATTTTAATGAATGGATTGTCTATTTTGTTGATCGTTACGCTTGTTGCTGAGACTTCAAAATCTGGTACCAGATTCTAGAACCGTCAATTACCCCACATAAGCGTCACCACTAAAATATACATTCTTATATTGTATACGTTTTCGATGAGGTGAATCGAAACGTAGTTACCTCGAAAATACGAATTCCAACACACTTGTCACAGTTGTACTTGACCACCTGCGTGTGTAAGTACCAGCGTGGTAAACTTGTCAAAACACCGACACCTATGTCAGGACACGTGTCGGCCAGACTTAATAGCAATTAGCTGCGTTGATTACCTGCTGGAACCTACAGGTAAGCACGCCGTGAAACCTGCACCCCTTGCTTAACGTAATAAACGGTTATCGGGTTCCATGTCAATTTACATCTGCTAAACTTAAGTAATTTGTTTATTTAAAAAAATAGACTTAAATTTGAGACTTGAAATATACCACAATAAACTAATATGGTTTATGTCAAATTTTACCCTGAAAATGAAATTAATTTGTTTATTAATAAAATAAATTTGTTAAATATATAAAATTAAAGATACATTGATATGGTTAGTTACCTTGTGGGTTATTTACTTAATGGGTACCACCCCCGGGGTTATTTCAAGATCCGAACAACACCTGGATTCCAATCTTGCAGGTGCTTCACCTGTCTTTTCTCCTACTTGTACGATACAATCAGAGATTGTTTCCAAGTTTTACGTGAGTTTGAAAAAAAAGGGGGAGTAAGAAAGGGAAGTGTTATGGGCGTTGAGTGGGTTAAAACGGTGTGCTATTTAGAGAAGTGGAGCGACTGTTAAATTTTTTTTTAAAGATATTTTCTTTTCTAAAAACTGTTTTGTTCTTGCAAGGCTTGGTACGTAAGTTTTCGTGTGTAAAATGTTTTGTTAATTATCGTTTATTGTGGAACAGCGTGTGTATGTAGATTGAGGGGGGGGGGGGGGGGGGGTTAGCGATTTAAATTTTGCCTACTTGTTTTGTTTCTGGTACTTCAACGTATTCACATTGAAAACAAAAATTTCAAGTATTTTTGGGATTAACTTTACCCAGCCTCCCCCCCCCACCATCTCCATGACACACACACACACACATAGATACACATACACAGACAGACAGACGCACACACATAAATACTCTGACACTCACACACATACACACGCTCATACACATTGTTTAAAATTTACCGGAATCTCAAGGAGTCGAGTGAGCACCAATTAAGACCAAGAGGTTGGTGTTGTAACATTCTCCCAGTCTGTATCTATTTGTGTGGTGTTGTGTGGTGTGTGTGGTGTGTGTGTGTGCTGTGTGTGCTGTGTGTGAGGTGTGTGTGTGTGGTGTGTGTGTGGTGTGAGAGTGTACACCACTAGCCAAAGCCCCGCACGTGAAGCCATTTGTGTGTGGTGTGTGTGTGTGTGGTGTGTGTGTGGTGTGAGAGTGTACACCATTAGCCAAAGCCCCGCACGTGAAGCCATGTGTGTGGTGTGTGTGGTGTGTGTGGTGTGAGAGTGTACACCACTCACCAAAGCCCCGCACGTGAAGCCATTAAACCACGAGCGCGATGTCGAGTCTTGCGTCAGGACACTATGGAGATCGAGGGAATACAAATGGTGGTCTGGAATAAGCTTATTGTTGTTTTTATGGCTTCCCGGACCCTCCACCCCCCTCCCCCCAACCACTCTGTCTTAGTGTGTTTTTTTTTCCTTCTATATTTGACCGTTTTATCTGGCATCTTTTGATGTCGGTTTTCGTCTTGTATGTACGGTCAGTTATCAGAAAATCTTGTACATAAGATGTGTTTCAGCGACATAGCTTAGACCTACATTACCCGTTGACTTACAATACACATATCCAACACTGAATAACGTGCAATGACCTAGGCCAATGTAACTTTAATGAAAATAGTTGGTTTTAGTTTTATCGTTTGTTTACCGAGATGGTTTTCAAGTGTGTTGATTCTAATTAAAGTTATGCATAATTAATAAAAATCAATGCCTAACGCATTACAATTGAAGAGATGGGCGCTGTAGACCTAGGCATTTTAGAAAGAAAAAAAATCTCACGAAAAAAAAAAACAACCAAATAAAATAAATAAATAAAATAAAATAAAATAATCAATGAAAAATGCACTAAAAAGTAAAAAAAAAAAAAAATTAATTTAGTGTAACCTTACAAAAAAATTTTTTTTTTGTTCTTAACTTGAATGAATTTTCTTCGTGGATGTATTATTTTGTATTATGTAACGACAAAGTTAACGTTATGGTCTTGATCCCCAGTTGTGTTGTTGGATTCTTCAGTGGAGTCTAGGAGCCGGCCAAGCCTAGGTTGGACTACTTACAAATCTGATACACGCGCAGGGGAGAGTGAAAACTTGGGGGTAAGTACACTGTCCTGGTGTGTGTGTGTGTGTGTGTGTGTGTTGGTGTGTGAGTGTGCTCGTGTCTTTTTTTAGTGTGTGTGTGTGAGATATTGTGTGTTTTTGTTTGTTATTTTTTTATTATTAGTATGTGGTAACGTGGAGTTTAGTCATTCTTTTAGTACACATCATATGTATGCGTGTTTGTATTAGTGATTGTGTGGGTTGTGAATGGTTAAAGTCACACATGCATATGAGTGTAGGTCAGCTTGCAGTAGTCCTAATGCATGTGTTCATATATCGTTTATATGCTATATATGTATATATGTATGTATGTATGTGACATTCTTTTGTGTTCTTATCTGAATTAACTCGACAATGTCAACCTTTTTAAACTTCTAGTTTCACCTTACAGTCTGTGTCCTAAAATCTGTTTATTATGGTCCCTTCTATTAATTAGCCTCTAGGACATATTGTATGTCCTACAGTTATAAACTTGCCTCGTCAGGACAAAATGTAACACGTGGGCGGGGGGTCGGTAAAAACCAAGTAATTTACCAAGCCCACACGTCATATTCGTAAACTGAAACCACATTAATTACCGCTAATTCTGGTCATTCGGGGGGAAAACCCGACAAGCTTTGGTCAGCGACAAATCGCTTCTCTCAAAAATCTGGTCTGTCTTCTCTTCAGTCTGTTTGTTGCCAGATTTTCGAAACATGCAATCTGTGCTTCGTATTTCCTATGCCTTGTCTACTGAAAATATCCATTTTTTTTCAACTTCTCAAATTAATCATTTATTTCTCGTGACGCACGCTATATTAGAGTCGGATTTTTTTTTCTTTCTTTTGTGTTAGGTTTTACTCACTCTTCTGCACTCACCGTTTTTCGTGAGCGTGCACCTTTTTCTCTAAGGCACGTGACAATTTTAAACCTCCCACATAGCTTATCATCTCCCCAGCATTCCCCAGCATTGTTTCCATACCTTCCTCTTACGTCTCTTTCGCTCTTCAGAAATTTGAATCACTCGCAGCATTAACAGCACTCGTTATGTGGCTCGGGTTCCAGAATGATAAAAGACTGGCTGTGCTCGTGTTTATTCTTTAAAGATTCCTGTATCATTTTTTGTGTACACATTTTTGGTAAATTTGGACGTTAACATTTCACAGGCACTTTATTTATAACATCTATTCATTCTCTAAACAATATTGTTACTAGGTGACTCTATTATAACGGCAGGCCTATGTAGATTTATATATTTCTATAAAATCTCGCCATATATATCTTAATTTGCATTCCTAGTATTCAATATCATGATATATGACCGGTGTTTTGATTTTTAATGATATTTTAATCCGAACAAACCACTCCTACACCCTCCCCCACACACAATCACACACACAATCACACACACACACACACACACATGCCAGATATAATCGACCTGCACAGATGACACAGGTGAAGGAAAAAAAAATGAAATCGCGCGGCTGTGCTTGGTAAACACTTTATAAGCGAATATGATAGGACCACTCCATCATTCTCTTCAAACCGGGATTAACGCCCTTGCATTCCCGCTAGGTGATGAAAGCCCTATGATGTATACCGGCCTAATGTGTCCCTCAATGTGTATGCCCCTATAATGTATGATAAATGTCATATATATATATATATATATCTATATATATATATATATCTATATATATATATAATATATATATATATATATATATATATATATATATATATATATATATATATATATATATATATATATATATATATATATATATATATATATATGTATTCATGTATTAATATATAGATAGATGTGTGTAATTGCATATATGGATGTATGTGTATTACGTAATTAGCCTAAATAATGCTGTTGATATATGCATATTTTCTCCTAAAACACAACAATCGTGCCCATTACAAAGCACATTTTCTCCTTTCCTACGACTTGTTGGTTAAATAAATAAACACACATAGGGGCATAACCACGTCAAACAAAGGGCGATTAATTTATTTGAACCGGGTCCCATTTGGTTGTTGGAGTTGTAAGCAGCTTCAACTTTACGTCACCTGGAGTATGTTCTCGAACTGCCTCACCCCCCACCCTAGACTGGATATTGGTGATTTGATCTCGCGAGCCGGAACTTGTAGGTTCTCGGTCCGTCCACACCGCGAAGGCAAAGTACTCTCCAGGTTTAAATCAGCCGCTGTTTTCATTTATAATAGAAAAAAAAATCAATCCAATATGTCAGACACGAGTGTTCTGCTGATTCTGATATCGAGCTGCTTCGCGAGGGGTTTATTTAAAAAAACAAACAAAAAAAACCTGTATTATGCTTATTGATGAAGGGGGATAACCAAAAGGTAAACAAGATGGGAGATAACTCTGTGAAAACTGCAAATAATTACCACGCAGCTGCCTCTTTGTATGGCCCTCGCTGGCCAGAAAGTGATAAAGCGATAGGAAATCTGAAAACACAACAGGATAATAATTAAGTCTGCGATAGACGGTGGGGGTGTGGGGGGGGGGGGGTATCTCGCTTCCAAACACTTGGGGGAAATAAAATTAGTACTAAAATGCCGGCCCCGGCGTTTATCTTTAAAGCTAGATTATAACTGCAGCAATTTGAAATAATCTGTCTGAGACCCTTTTAATAGACATTTCATGGCTGGAAAATCTGATTGATTTTGTAGTCCCGACGCGAAGACGAATAAGAAGAAGAAAAAAGAAAAGAAAAAAAGCCCTCGACTGGATCTCGTACCCTGAAATCCATCTCCCCCCTTCTTTTAAGCTACTTTCTCCAAAGCTGAAATATCGTCCATTTCCGGATTGAATAGGTGAGCAAATGAAAAAAAAAAGGAACGAAAAAAAAATCAACGCCCCCCTCCAACTCTTGTCTCTAATAACTTATTTGTTGAGCGTTACGCCAAAAGTCGGCCATTTCCTTTAATGGGTACTCGTCTACGCCCGGCGCCATTGACGTGTCTATCTGGGTGCATTATCTGGTAGATATTATGGGAAGATAGGGCGGCGACCCCCCGTTTTCACCCCTATTCCGATCCCTTGAAATTGGGGGTCTCCTGCGCGGGATCCCGCCTGCGTCCGCGTGATGACGTTATTAACCCTTTAACCTTCATAAGTTAACCGTCTAGCGTCTGGGCTTTGATCAGACATGTAAGAAGAAAATTACTTATGGAATCTACACGAATATCCACTTTACCGGCTTTTTTCCTTTCTTAAAAAAAAACAACCTACCACCTATATTTATCTTTTTTGGACCGTTCAGGAATAACTTTAACTTATCTGTAATATTTACACCTAGTCTAAATAAAATATAAAAAAAAAATAACCTAAACGAATTGCCACATCATCAAAATCAGCACTCTTCTGTACATTGACCACGGTATCCCAAATTTACTGAAATCATGAAAAGCAAATATGATCCAAGTTTTATCCGAGGAAATCGCCCGCGATTGAGTGTACGCTGAGACACCCCCCCCCCCCCCCCAAAAAAAAAAACAACTCCAGATTAACAATAGGCTCTAAGTGTTGTTTAATTTCTTTGGAGATTTCTCTCCCGCAATAAACCTCTTATTAAACCCGCTTAACCTATCGAGCATTCCCCCCCCCCCCCCCCACAACACACAATTCCAGGAATTAAATTGTTTTCCTTTCCTCCCCGTTTTTATTTTTTTTAAGCGCTCGGCTTGTTAGCAATAACGGCCACTCGTTTACCCTTGTTTCGTTTTTTTTTCAACCCCTCGCCACAAAGCTCGCTCGTTACTCGTGTGGTCATTTCGTTTTGGGGGGAACGTGAAAGAAAACCACCCCCCTCTCTCCCCTCGCCGTCAATTACGCGGAATTTAAATTTCTATTTACCCCCCGAAATTGCCGGCATTGATAAGGAATTCTGTATGCAGGATCAGCCTATGTCTGCGCCATGAAAAGTGGGGTCTTCTAAGTTATTTCTCGTTAGCTTCCCTCCCCTCCATCCCGCTCTAGCCCTATATTTTTATCATATAGGTTTAAACATAAGAAAATAATATTTTTCGGTATTGGGTTTCGACGTTGACAAATGTGATCTAATTGAGGTTTTAGCCGCGTACCTTCGAGGAGAAAGACGTGGTCCGTCTAAAGACTTTAATATTTTTTTCAAAAAAATCTTGAGTGGTTTCGGCCCTCGATGAAACGGGAGCAGGGTTATATCCCCCTGCCATCGCTTGATTCGCTCCCTTGAAGTTATTGTTGATCGCACGTATGTCGCTGAGAGGGTTTAACTTCAAGTCGGTCTGCGAAAAGGTGGTGTAGAGTTACACTGGGATAAAATCATAAAGAAGAGAAGGAAGAAAAAAATTGTCTTGATAGGTAAACATGCCCCTGTCGTAGGGTCGGTTTTTGTGTTTGTTTTTTGTGATCTCGATGTAATGGTCTCACCTATGGAGAATTAAAAAAATGCTATGTACAAAGAAGATTGAGCACTGTATGAGGGGTAAAAAATCTCTTCCCTCTCCCCGAGTGTTGAGATTATTATCGTTGTTTTTTTTTTCTTTTTTTACACTTTGAGAATGTGATATCTGATGTACAAATTATTCGCATGAAGATACTTAGCGATCTTTTATCCGAACATTTTTTGACGATTGTTCAAGTGATTCGTTTCAGTATTCATTTTGCCTTTTATTTGGACGATTGGCGATAGTCTTGATGGGTTTTTTTTTTTTTTTGGTTATCTTACCGAATTTTGAACTTTGTTGAGAGCTTATCTCAGTTTCAGAGCTAAATTTTTGTCACGTGACTAATTGTACTAGAAGAAATTACTTTAAAGTAATAGCATACAATAAAAACATTTTAAAGTAATTATTTTCAAGTTATTTTAATACATTAAAAAACATCTGCTCAATTTAATTGTAGGATGTTGAGGTTTTTTTTTCCTACCCTCTCCATCCCCCCCCCCCCCCCTTCCCCCCAATCATCCCAACCCAGTCTATTACCTCAACACTTCCAACAG